CCCTTTAAAATGAAAGACTTTTTAGATATTGTGTTGCTGACATGCAAACATAAAAGGGGAAATTTGTTTTCATTTTGTCCCTGTGATTTTCAAAATATTTCAGTGCTGGGTGGGGGGGATACATTTTATTTTTTATCTTCTTTGTATATACAATCTGATTACATAGTAGATCCTGTGTCTGAAAGGTGAATCTGATATTAATTTCAAAACAGCCTCTTTATTGCTTTACCTGATAAACTAGCCTAGGTTGAGTCTAAAGGTGTCCACATAATGAAATGAAGGTGTACTTGCAGTATCTTAGCTTAGTCTAGCATTGGCTTTAGCAGCTTTGTTGTCCTTGAGCCAGCATGTTAGCAGAGACAGGGTCTGAAAGTGTGTATAGTGAGAGTACTAGTATTTGAAAAGCCTGTGCTACAGTTTTGTTGTTATTACATATGCTGTCTAAACTTAAAGGTAGTGTGAATTAATATACCTGTGTGAAAACCATCCCATTGTTTCACTTGGTAGATATAATTTCAGACTTGACCTAAGTTAGTTCACACCTACAAAAAAGGTGGTTTTTCTGAACTTGTTTAACTGCGATGTATTGCTCAGATAGGATAGGAAAGGGACTCTGACCTTGAAATCTTGCAAAATTTTAAGTTTGCACGTGCAATTTCAAGATGATCCTTCTGTCTCTGTAGATTTTATTTTGAATTAAAATAAAAAGTAACTTCAGAACTGGGGAACTTCCTAGTCATAAACTTAAATACAAAAGAGGGAGAGAGGTTTCAGCTTACTGTTTACCTAAATCATTAAGTTTTTAGATACCCTCTTCCATAACTTTTTCCACTTATAAACTTCCTTTTAGTAGAAACAGTTAAAGGTGATACTTGGAAAATTGGTACAGAAGTACAGTATATACTATAGTATAGTAGGAGGGTGTCTGTGTATATGTATGTATGTTCATAAGATATTTAAATTTCCATTTTAAATGTATTTCATATGTTTAAAATACAAAACAGTTTTAAATATTTGATAGATATTTTTTATATCAGAGTAGAAGGCATGAGGTAGCTGACAAAGGATGATAGCTGAGAGAGGATGGCTAGTCAGCATTCAGGAAATGTTAAAGAGAAGAATGGGACCTGGAAATAGCCCCGGAATAGAGGACTGCCAATGTTTCGATCCCTTTGTAAGCCTTATTTCCTGTGAGATACTGGACAGAGTCCTTTGTTTTTCTAAATTATAACCGTTGGTGTAGATCCACCAATTTTGTTTTTGTGGACGGTTCTGACTTAAAAAAAAAAAAAAGTTGTATGATAAATGTTTTGTTGGAAAAACTTGTACCTTTGAGGAGGTGTGCTTTCTAGATGTAATGTGTTCTTTGGTGTATGAGGTACATCTGTGTGCAAGCTGCATTCCTTTTGCTGTGAAAAGAGAAATTACTGGTAAGAAAGAAAAGTAGAGCTTTTTTGCCAGCATTGTGATGGTAGCAGTGGCAGCAATAACAAGAAGTATTTGAATAAGTTACCAATGTATTTCAGTTTGCTAGGTAGCTTTGATATGAAAGAAGTTTCTCCATTTCTAGTTTCCATTTTTTGGAGGAAAATAATTGTCCTGTATATTGGCATGTATAGTAGAGTAGCTTTTTTAAAAAGAAATGTGAACAGAGGCATAGACCTAAAAGTAAAGAAATTTTTTAATTACTTTCCATTTTGTTCCATTGCCAGATATTTGCTCAAGGACTTAAACTAATTTACATCTATATAGTTTCAAATATAAATATGGTAAGTATAAAGTACATTAGCTTCTGTGAGAGGGGATTCAGAAAGAAACAAGCAGTTTTGAGGTTTTTGATGTGTACTGGAAAGTAAACCTATGTTTTGAATATTAGAATATTTAGGAAATTGTATTTATTATATATTTGAGCAGCTCTGCCATGTTTAAATTATGACATTATGTAATGAGTGATATATATTTTAAAGGTCTCATTATTTTCTTTCGTTTTTCATAGGGAAATAAGCAATTTGTTAGTTGTGTTAATGCTCCAGATACTTTGGCTTTTTTAACATCCTGTTTTAAATTTGAGGGTTTCGCAGTGTAGAAATTCTTGGGGATTTTTGTGGCAATTGTGTCTCGTTAACAAGTAACTTAAAGGAGAAGGTTACGCATGTTGGAGGCAGAAAGCTGTAACTCCATATTTGCGAAACTGAGATTCCTAAAATAGCTGTAGTTTGAAAAGTAGATTGCCTAGGAGGTGACAGCTGAAATAATTTTACTCAGGGTTGCTTACTTAAACCAAAATTTACAAAGGTAAGACCCGTGCTTCTAATTAGGCTTGTTTTATGACTTTTCCCTTAAGGAGCTGTTTATACATATATTTCAGGTGAATATAAATTATTTAATTCATATCCCAGATGAGGTTTTCCACATTGAACAAAGCAGTATGCCAGAGACTTGTTCACATTTTCGGGCTTCAGTCTACAGGAGGCGTATGAGGCGAAGAGGCATGAGTTCTACCTTGAGATGCAGAGGAAAGAGGAGGAGATGAGACAAGTGTTTGTGCAGAGAGTGAAGGAGAAAGAAGCATTTTTGAAAGAAGCAGAGCAAGAAGTAAGCATTCCTGTCTGTCTTAAGTTTGTTTGCTGAGATTTGGAACACTTAAGTTGACCACTTGGCAGAATCGCAGCTAGTTGATATTTATGATTTCCTAATATTTAGATGGCCGTAGGGCTTAGAGTCAAAAGGAGGTTGATTACGTAGTGCCAGGTGCAAGCAAGTAAATGGTAGTCTTTCCTGGAAGGAGGGAGCTTGTGGTCTAAAAGGTTATTGGATAGGTGGAACAAGGTGGTGGATGGGATGAAAGATGAAGTAGCAGGAGAGCGATAAATGTAACGGTTGTGGTTTCTCTAGCCTTCCTTAACAGCAGGCTGAGAAGTATCAGTATGGCATGTGAGCACAGTAGGTGCTTTTCAGATGTAGGTTCCTGGAAGAATAGGCTGTGCTCTGGGGCTTCTAAAAATAACATTTTTGCAGTTGTTTGCAGCTAACCATGGCCTAGTCATTATAAGATTGTAGAGTTGAAGTTTTCTTTGTGCATTATGATAGACATAAGATCTGTGGTGATTTTTATTTATTTATTTTTTTAAAAAACAACACTGTAACAGCTGTTGTCTGAGGGTCATCCCCCTTCACTGCCCGCCCCCTGTATCCCGCGAGGGATTGATGCTATTCTCACTTGCGGAGTGAAGAAGGGATTCAGTCTTAGAATACAATAGTGGATGTGATAGTGGGGCATGTACCTTTGTGTGACCTCCAACTTCAGTTACTTCATATGAAGTGCAGCCTTTGTGTTGAGGGGTTGAAGGATTTCTTTTTTTAATATTATCCATTTCCAATTACCTTGAGATTTTTCACTGGCTGCTAAAACTCTTAATGTGTTGCACCTTCTAAATCCATGTTTAATAAGAAATATGTCAAATACCTGGACTGTTTGGAGATGCGGAACGTCTCTTGAATATATGGTTAAATACTTAGTCCTATCAAACTGGACTGGCATAACAGGATCTTCACATCTACTTTCTGCCAGACTCAGTCATGGTCATGCATATTTATATTCAAACACTGGTTTAATTAAAATTGGAAACCTGTATATATTTGTTAACATCCGTTCCTGTACCTCAGTCTCCCAGCAAAGCTGTAACAGTTCTGTGAAGTGTTCCTGATGCATGTGTTAAATATGAAGAGGGCTTAATACTTGGTTTTCTAAATCTGTTAAGTTTCCTGTGCTATTTGTGGAGAATAAAATCAGGTTCAGCCCTTGTCACTGTGAGGCTATCTAATAGGAAGAATGCTTGGCTGTGTTCAAAGTAGGTTCAGCTGAGTTTTATGCAGTGTCTGTGATGCTCTTGGTGTCTTCCTTTTGTGATTTATACTAGGTGACTTCTTTGAGCTCTGCATGTTCCAGCTGATTTACAGATATTAGCTTCTTTTTTTTTCTTCTTTCCTTCCTTCCCCCAGTACCTGATACGGGAAAGTGATGAGGTAGTCACTTCTAAAGAACATTTGTCATGTACTCCCTTGCTGATTCTTCTCCCGCATGTATGTGTACAAACATGAAAAGTGTAAAAAAAAAAAAAAAAAAAAGTTTCTGTAGTATCCAGAATTGATTTTGCTCCCTTCATTTAAAGGAAACTTGGGGGGTACAATGTACAGCCTTACCACTCCTGAATGGTGCAGTTGTTTATCCTGTTTATTTCTACCCTTAATATTTTTATTGGTATACCTGTTTTTGCAACGCATCTGAAATACGCACTCACACACATTCTTGCACTTAAAAATCTCAGACACTGTGCAGAGCAGACACACTGTTTATAATTTTAGTTATTTCTTAGTTTCTTCTCTGCAAAAGAAAGAAATATCTCTGATTTTTATACCAGTATAGCTTAGCAGTGTGGCTTGCATAGCTAGGTGGATCAGAGATACGACATGGTTGAACCTTAGGGATATTTTGATAGGGTTATAGTTTTTCAGCCTACTCAGCCTCTTGATCCATCTGGTCATGCAGGTACAGAAGCAAGATGCTGAGAGAGTACATGGTGGGAGATGGGAGGTGAAGAAGGGTGCAGGGGAATACCCTTTGGTTATCATGCACAACTTGATCAGTTTTAGCGTACTATGAAAATGTGTCTTGGGAGTAAAGCCCGTTAATATATCAAAAGAACAGTCAAAGAACAATTCTTGCAGAAAAGCAGTTAGCTTCTGGGAGCTCAAGAGTAGTTCTCCAAAGCAGACTTACTGTGTGTATACATATTTATATATACATGCAATTCATATACATATTAAAATAAATACCTGTGTAACTAAAAAAATGGATGGTTCCTTGTGCACCTGGTTTTAGGGAAGTAAATTTTGCCTGACAGATCCTAATTTAATCATTTTGTTGGTAATTGTTTCTTTTCCAGAGGACTGTTTATTTTTGATCTAACGAAGATATATCCTGTAGTAAATGTAATACTCAACTAAGTGCCTTCCATGGTTTCCAGCGTTACTTCATGTGAAGTAGCCTGGCATCTGGAATGAGAATGGTCTGATAAAAGTGATCCTTTTTCTGGATTGCTCTTTTTTAGTTTTCTCGAAAGAACTGCCATTTCATGTAACTTTTAACACAAGTTCAGTAGCTAATTACTATTTTTTAGTGTTTTTATGTTGTGGTATCACCACCTTGTGTTACGGGTAGGAAATGCAATTTCTGTACTTTGTTTCAACAGATACAGGCTAAATTTGAACACCTTAAGCGATTGCATCAAGAGGAGAGACTGAAACTAGAGAAGAACAGACGAGTTCTGGAAGATGAAATGGCTATGTTTGTTAAGAAGAAAACTACTGCTGAATTACTCCAAACACAAGCATTAGTCTCTACACCTGTTAGTTTGAAGAAAGACAAAGACCGCAAAAAGTAAGCGCGCATGCTAGTCATCGGGGTAGCAATAAAAAGAATTCACGTTTCACTCTTAAAACACAAATTTTAGTAGCTTTTAGAAAAGATATAAACGTGCTCATATTCTGTTATGTGATAAGAGGATAGAAATATGTAAAAAATGCCATCATGTTTGAATCACTGGCTCTAAAATTTACTTTTGGAGTAATTGTTGTATGTTCTATGAGCATTTTTTTCTTTTTCCATGAAGGGACCAAGGTTTTCGACTTGAACTCCTGTGCTTTGATGTCAGAGATGAAGAAGTTGTGAATGTGCATGAAAGCGAGAGGGAGAAGTTAGAGAGGGAGAGGAACTCACCCAGGGAATTCCAGAAATAGTATTTGAATGCAGTGCTCAACTTTTGAATGTAGGATATATTAGTTTTATGAAGCAGTTTGCTGCTGTCCCATAACCATAGTTACATCTTCCTATTACAGATTTTTGAGAGGAGGGATTGGTAAAATTGGCTGTAAAATTGCACTGAGCAGTGCAATATGACTTGACGTGCATTTCACATTCAGAAAACATTGATGTTTCTTACCCCCTTACCTTTTTTCCTCTTCCCCCCACCAAAAAGAAAAGCTTCAGTTAATTGTGAAATTTTAGAAACATGTTCAAAGATAGTCTCCAGAATAAAATGCCTTTTTTCTTCCTATATAGTTATTGAGTCGAATGACACAAACAAGAAAAGGAGTCAAAAAAAGAAAACAAGAAGCAAAAAAAATTATTTTCCCTTCCTCGTAGATTACAACTTTACTGCAGATAACATTTTGTTGATTAATGTCTTAGTGCAATTGAAAGCAGATCTTTCGTACATAAATTATGCATAACTGCTGGATAAAGAAAAATGTTAGAAGCTACACAGGTGCACATATTCCACACATGTCAAGAAGTCAGATTTGACTTTTTCTGGGTGTATGCTAGCAGCCTGTTGTGTGGCTTTGCCAAAACTTGTTGCATTTCAAGTAATGTTACTAAGTTGCTTTTTCCTAGGCTCCTTTTTCAAGGATCAGTTGTGAAAGTGGAAGTCTTGGTAATGAAGGTCATTATACTATAATATATGACTCTGAAGTTCAGAGGGTTTTTAGATTTTGTTTCCTCTGGTTTAGCTTTATTTCTTCTGAGTACGTTGTAGTTCATATGTTTGTTTTTGTTTTTGACTTCCAGCTTTACGTAATACTGAGGATAGAAGAAGCAAATGTTGATAATTTCTCTCAAGGAAGCTATGACTCACAGTGTGCTTTTGAAGGGGAAGGAGTTGCTGTTTTTTACTGAAAGAATTTGGAAAATGTCTCTTATTACTGCAGGCTGCAAGAAAAGAATTTTTAAGTATCGTCTGTATGCATAGGGTGCTGTGATTATTGTCACATTAATATGGCTTCATGGACTTTCTATTATGCAGCTACCTTGTTATGCACTTGCTTTACATACATGTGGCCAAATTGCATTCAATTTATTTGCAGTGTACAAAAGAAAATGTCTATGCCATAAACAGTTTTTCTGATAATATGAATCCTGTAGTACAGAAGTATTTAGTGAGTATATCTACTATAACCTTTCTAAAGAGTTATTTTTATATGATACAGTATGTTAATCTACTAAACAATATTTAATACAGCTCTTGACATAATTCAGCCACTTACTGATTTTGCTTACATGATTTTATATGAACAAGCAGTGTCTTAACTTTTGGGTATAATCTTTCTAATCAAAATTTAGCAGATATTTTTGCAGTGCTGCCGTGTTACATGCTAGTTTATCTGACGTTACTAATTTAGTTTGGAAAGTATCTATAACTTTTAAGGCCTGTGACTTTGCAGTCACGGCAAAAGGCTAAACATTACAAAAAGCACTAACTTCAAGAGCTTCAGGTTAAAGCAAGTTTAAAAAAGTCTCTGTATTTCTAGTGGTTATAATAACAAATTGGAAACATTCTGTAAAAAGTGCAATTCTCTGAATTTTTATATGACTACTTTTAAATAAAACGTTGACTTGAGAGAAATAAAACACACTGATTTTGCTTAAGTGTTTCTATTGTTCTTCCTCCTCTCCCTCCTGTAATATTAAAAACAGAGTAAGCATTCATGTTAAACTAGAAAATAGATATATGTTATCTGTTTAAAACATCTTAAGTGGTTTGCTGATTAAAAAAGTAGATTGAGAGTGCATGCTGTGTCAGAAAGGCAATATGAGTTGTCATATGTCACTGTAATTAGGATCAGGATTTTTCCATTTTATTCACACGGGGATGCATATGAATATAAGATTGTTTTTCTTCCGTTCTGTTGCAGTGGGAAGGAGTATATGATAAGATATACAAACCCGTCCTTGACCAGGAAAGGGTTATAAACTGCCAATTCAATCAGTTCAGCAACTCATTGAAGTATGGTTGACAGAGGAGGGAGAGGTTAAGCAGAGACACCCATTTGGTCAGTGTACTCAGCCAGTGTATGGCTGACTTTTTTTTCTTCCATAAGAAGAATATTGGCCAGGTTCAGGCTCAGTGATTGTTGTCCAATTGCTCCTTTCTGAGTGAAATGTTACGTAATGCAAGATTGTATTTTTTGTTTGGCTTTGTACCATTGATGTGGTCATTTGCATCTGTTGATTAGAAACAAGAATGTGTGCTGTCAGCACTCAGTTATCCGCAGGTGGATTATCCCAGCCATTGATATTAGCTCAAGCACAGCTTTTCTTGATCTTTATTAAACCACATCAAGAGACAGGCTTAGCTGAGTATAGTGGGGCTGCTTTGGCAGAGACAAAGCTTGTGATGGTTACAGCTTTGCACCTGGTCAGCACTGGAGGATGTGCTGTGCTTTGACAGCTGGGAGCAGTGAATAGTACAGTATAAATACACAGGACTTGGTCAGAAGTAGTTTATGTCCGGTTGTACCTGTTAGCTTGGGATCCACATTGGCCCTGCAGGATTCAGCAGCAAAACAAAGCGGATGCAGGTAGCTGTGTAGGGCTTTTGGAACAGGTGGTGATTACATGGAGTTTGTTGGTTCAGTTGTAGCACAGAATGACTTGGGAGAGACAATGGGTTTTTCTTTCTTTCCCGATAGTCATTCAGATACTGGAGAGTTGTCTGTAGATATGGGAATTTCTGTAATTATTTTGTATAACTTACCCTAAAAAACTCCTACATACTACATAAGTAACGTGCAAGTGCACATCACAACCCAGCTGTAAAATGGAGTTCAAAGAATTACAAAGACACAACTAAGAATATCTCCTGAAGACTGAGAGTTAATAGTGGTAGTAAATCAAAGCTTATATGCCTCACTATAGTTTATCATAGCTATGTACTTTTTAACTGAACACTTCTGAGAGGTTTATTCTGCAGATGAAATGATTTCAAGACTGTTCATTACGGTCTCATTATTCTTACGGTGCCTTCTGCAGTGGCTACTGTGTAGATTATTACTTTGGGCCCCTAAAAGTCTGAAGCAACTGCCGTTTAGATTCTTTCCTTAGGACACTTTCCATATATATTTTGTATATTCATTTGTGACTGTACCTTTAAGTAATTTTGCCATGGGAAGGCACAGCCAGGGTGCATTAATATTTTTATCTTAATCCCCTCCTGTTGACAGCATAGCATTTCTTTGCCAACGTGTTTGGCGACAGAACTGTATTTACAGTTGCATTGTGAAATTGGGTAGAGAATGTACTGGACTTTAAAAATGAAGTATGTTCTGGACTTAACTAGATCGTTGCTACTTAATGGAAACAAGAACTGTTTCCATAACAGTAACAACATCTCTATGCAGAAAAAGTATTCAAAAGAAAAATGACTAATTTTCAAGACCTTTTGAAGGCTTACATAATCCACATGCAGTGAATCACTTCAAAAAGTAATGTAATTCAAAGACAAGTAAACTATCTAAACAGGATTTTGTTTCTTTAGTAATTTTATTTTTTTTAATCTGGGCCTCAGCACCAATGCAGCAAAGCGATGATAGATATGTATAGACATTTTCAGTATTTTAAATCGAAAAAGGACTTCGACAATATTTTCACTAGGGTGCGCTCAAAAGACGTTGCTTTCACTTTAGTCAGCTATGACTAGCGAGTATGTGCTTAACCACAGATGGGTAAAGTACTAAAAGTAACTATCTTCTAGTCTATTCTTTAATCTTGTAACTGTTTTTTTGATGCTGCTTTTTTTTTTAAAAGACCTCTTATTTCATCTAGCTAGAGAAGTAAGCAAGCATCAAACTAAGGGCTGGGCTGGTTGAGTTCTGCTCCTTGATCTCAAGCACAGCTCTTTTGGATCCAAGTCAGTTAGTCATTCACACTAGTAATAGAACACAAATTTAGCAATGCTGAGAACCATAATATCTAATTATATATACTTAAAAAATAAATATCTTAATTTGCTACTTTAAAACTGTGACCTGGTAATTTCAGTGGCTGTCCGAATGCTCTTCCTTTTAGGAGTAGAGATCAACTGTTCCCCGTTAGCTTTATCCTCCTGCTTCTTCCTTGCTTCCAAACAAAAGCAAAAAGAACACAACACCTTGAGAATGGAATGATTTATGATGAAGGTGACAAAGGTGATAGGAGGCCTGCATGGATGAACAAGCTGCTCCTGACAAAACTCGGACATAAAAAAGAAGCGTACAAGAGACAGAAGCAGGGACAGGTGACCAGGGAGGAATATGGAGGCACTATACGAGAGTGTGGGGATGGGATTAGATAAGCCAAAGCCCACCTGGAATTGAATCTGTGAGGCAAAAAGAAAGACTCCTACAGGTTATCAGCAGCAAAAGGAAAGGTAGGAAAAATAAGGGCCCATGGCTGAATGGGGTGGGGAACATGGTGACAAAGGACGTGGAGAAGGCCAAGGTACTTAAAGAATTTGCTTTGGTCTTCATGGGTAAGATTTGCCTTCAGGAATCCCAGGTCCTGAAACTAGTGAGGTAGTCTGGAGCAAGGAAGATTTATGTCTAGTAGAGGAGGATTGGCTTAGGGGACACACAAACTGGACATACACAAGTCCATGGGAGCTGATGGGATGTACCCACAAGTGCTGAGGGAGCTGACCAATGTCACTGCGAAGCCACTCTCAGTTATCTTTGAAAGGTCATGGTGATCAAGGGAGGTTTTTGAGGACTGGAGGAAAGCAAATATTCAATATTCAAGAAGGGCAAGAAGGAGCATCTGGGTTACTACAGGCAGGTCACCTTCACCTCAGTCCCTGGGAAGGTAATGGAGCCAATAATCCTGGAAGCTATTTCCAAGGACAAGAGGATGACTGGGGGTAGTCAGGGTACATTTGCAAACAGGAAATCGTGCTTGACCGACCTGATACCCTTCTAAGACAAAATAACTAGCTCCATGGATGAGGGGAGAGCAGTGGATGTTATTTATTTTGACTTTAGCAAGACAGTGCACTTCTGTGGCTGCAATAATTTCAATTTACATTGTCAGAGGTTAAAAGGAACTCTAAATCTCCTGCTTCTCAGATGAAACTCTGGCAGGGTGATACAAGACTATCAAGATGGCCCAGAAACAGGTATATATTTTAAAATAGAATTATTAATAAGGCAGTTTTCTGCTTGTGAGGAATTGGGTCTGTGATCTTTGTGTTTCGGCAGTGTAAAGGTACTTGGTCCTTTTAGTCTGGTGGGGAAGCGTGTTGATCACAGTGCATTTTCCTAGAACCAGCTAAGCCATCTGATGGGATGTACAAGCAGCCAGAGAGATGAGACGTGCAGAACTTGTCACAAGCTTTTCTCTAATATTTGCTAGCCTACTTGTTATTCTGTTAAAGACTCATTTGATTTATAAACTCCAGTGACAAATTCTTATTGCCTGGCACCTAGGAACACAACAAGCAATACTGATGAACCGTACTGAGGAATACACAATACAGATGCTGCTTTATGACTGCGTTCACAATAGATGAATAACATCCAAGCTCTGCCCAAAGCTCAAATCATTCTCTATCCCTAAAAATGTAAAAATTACAAATGCGCACAATGCCAATACGTATATGTGAGAAATAATTTCAATGCCTTCTCCTGAGATGTTTGAGATCTCAGTGTTTGTTTTGTCTTTGGAGTTATAGGTTTTTTTTGCTCACATTAGCTTTTTATAGAAAAAAAATCTCTTAGGCATGTTACTGTGTTTTCTGACTGCTTCTCAATCTTTAATATATTTATTCTCATACAATATATTAAAAAGTGGGAAGACAGTATTTACAGATAGAATATGAGACCATGGGTAGGGCTCATTTTTTTTTACAAATAATTAGATTTTTTTTTTTAATTTACACCCGCTCAATGAGAATGGGACACGCAAGTAAATCCATCATGGCTTTTAAAATGAAGTTATGATGACACAGAAAATCTACAGTGGAAGGAGGACTCGGGCTGACATCCTTCGCTGGTACTAAGCATTGGCTTGCTGTCCCCCAAGCTTGTACATAATTTCCAAACCTGCCGTTGTTTTGATTGATTCCTTCTAATTAAACAGAGAAGCTTTTGTGGAAGGTCATCTATTTTGTTTGAAGTATGCAGTGATCTTGAAAGAAAAAGAATAATGAATTTGGGTGAATGTCAGATTTTTCTCTCTGCTCCAGTATGGATGCAATTACTTAGACTAAATGAAAGGATTTCA